CACTGCCCCAACGTCACGTTCATCTTCTCGGAGCCGCACAGAAAAGTCCCGGGGGCAAACGTCGGCGCCGGCACGTCTAGTGCGATGGACCGATGGTCCGAGGACTCCGCCGCGGCTATCGCGCCGATGCGCTCGGGCGCGGCGGACCCCATCTCGGGCGCGTGCACGCTCGCCTCGGTGGTGCTGTGCAGGACAAAAAGCCTCACGGGGATGCTGCGAAGCTGCAGGTACGACGCGGCCAAACGCAAAAGCCCCGGGACCCGATCGAGCGCAAGGTACCCGTTTTCCTCGAGGAACTTCAGCTCCTCCGGGAGGCTTTGCTGGACCGCCTGCTCCAAAAGCCGTGTGAGGGCGGTGGCGACGATGGTGTTGGTCCCCTCCAAGACTTCGGCCTCGCTTTGGGAGTCGCCCGAGCCGGCGTGCTGGGTGGCATAGTCCTGCTGCATACTTTGCAGAACTTTCTGGTAAAAGAAGTGGTAGTGCTCCAACGTGCAGGCCTCTCCGGGACGGAGCACCGGACCGCCGCCGCCGGAACTGCCCTTTGCGCTAGGGCCTTGATTCGCCTTCCGACGGCTCTCTTCGTCGGCGCTTTCCAAGAGAAGATTGAGCGCGCTGAGCTCACCCGCATCGTCCCCTTTGGGGGAGAATACTGACGCCCTCCCTGATGGCCGGTCGTTTCCGCCTCCTTTGCGCTCAACACCGCCGGGGTGTTGGCCTCGACGTTTGTGCAGTGCGGCTGAGGCCGACTCCACGGAGATCTTCAGAGAGTCTAGAATAAACTTCCCGACCACATCCGAAAGCCACTGGTTGAGCAGCTTGCCGTACTGATTACTAATGTGCACGACCTGCGTGATCTCCTTCATGTACGCCGAGACGCTTTGCTCCATGGCCGCCTCGAGGGTGCTGCGGGTGCGGTCCGAGACCCTCACCGTGGTCGGCCGCTCGGCCCACTGGTGGAGGGTGTGAATCCCCGCCTGTTGTAGGGCGCGCAGGTCGTAGACCGGCGACTCCGCCGAGAGCCGCGCGACCTGCTTGTAGTAGGCGCTTTCGAGCAGGAACTCCAGCCAGGCCTTCTTTCCGCCGAGGGCGGTGAGCTGCCGCTTCGGCTGCATCGCGGCGAACTCGGAGACCGTGATCCGCTCGACGCCCTCGGCGTTGGGGTCGATCAGGAGCTGCACCACCTTCGGCAGCGGCTCCGACGACAGCGTGGCCTCGACCTTGACGATGTCCTCGATGCGGGCGTCGAGGGAGGGGCCCGGGAGGGCCGGCATCCGGCAGGCGGGCGTCGCGTGCAGGGCGCCGCCCCGGGGGCCCGCCGGCGCAGGCGGTGCGGCCTCAGGGGAAGGGGGAGGGAAGGCGGGTTGGGAGACTACGGGAGGGGCGGCCGGGATCGCGTCCGCGGCGGGGCTGCGGTACCACGGC